CACTTCATCCTCCAAATACCCCAGCATGGGCATGGGGAGGGTGGAAGGGATTAAGCAAACGTGACTGAGTACCGAAGGCTGGGGAGTCTGGGTGACAGGTATATGGAGATTCATCATACTATACTTTCAACGTTAATCTGGAACTTTCAAAACAAAGTTGGTGGGGGCAAATCGTGGAAATGAGATCGTCCCCCTGCAACAGCAGCACCTACCAAAGTGTGTAGTCAAGAAAGAGCTACATCAGATGGATTTCTGCCCACGGTTTTGGGGAACCCAGAACACACGGGGCCTGGTTCACGTGATGACCTCTGTTCTCGGTGCCACTCCGTGTCCTCTCTCCACCTCCCCAGCACCCTGCCAAACGAAATTATTTCTGGTATTCCTCCTGCTGTTCCGACCTTCAAATGTGCCCACTGAGGGGAACACCCAGGCCAAATGTCTTCACGAGCCAAATTCATGTTGTGCTAGGTGCTCATCAATCCCACCCGACCTGTCCCATCATGTTGTGGGACAGCAATAGAGGCCCAGGAAGGTCATAAGACTTCCGGAGGCCCAGCAAAGCAGGAGGTATGCGCCCAGTCCCTGCCCTGCCAACCCTTCCCCCACTGGGAGGCGTCCAGGGTCCCACACAAGCCATAACTGGAGGAAACCCACATCAGAGCCCCAGAAGCAGGCCTGCACATGACACCCCCCCAGTCTGACACCCCTCTTGGAGCAAAGCCACATGCACTAGAGCACTTCAGAAGACGGTACCTGTCACACTAGTAGAATGGATGCATTCCAACACAGGTCTCAGACCTCACACCTCTGTAGATGCCCATAACTCGTATCTTAATTAGGGCCAATTATTTAAAAAGAATGCATAAAGAAAGAGGGCCATAGACCTCAGTGGTGGGTGGGTTTCCTCCTCTGTTTTTGCTCTTACCTCCCTCTCCAAGTCACACACAGTGAACGCTTCTAGCCCGTTCTTTCCAGCTGCTAGTGATCGTTGCTAGGAATCAGGATCCTCAAGGCAGAGAAAAATGACCTCCGAGATTTATTGGTGGGTTTCTGAGCTACTGTCCAGACATTTCCCCACTCAAGGCCCCTTGTGCAGAGAAGAAACAGTGAGCCCAGGTTCCACAGTCACTCTCCCCTTTTTATGGATGGGTTTCAGCACCTGCAAAGGTGGGCCTCCCAGGCAGCAGCCTGGGTCCATCTGCTTCCTCTCCCATTGGGGAATTTTGGGCTGCAAATGACCTGCTGTGATCACGCCCAGTGCGGGCAGCTCGTCCCCATCATGATGCACAGCAGGTGCTTCAGGGAGCACTGGGCAGCCCACTGCACTGAAGGGTCTGCTGCTTGGGTTTCAAGACAGAGTGGTGTGGATGGGAAGAAAGAGACCCGATCCCAGCTCCAGGGCTAACCAGGCATCTCAACACACAGACAGTGGGTTCACTCTGAGGTAAATAAGAGTCTAACAGCCCTATGGTGTGATAGCACCTTCCACCCAGCAGGGGTGTGGTGAAGAGTTAAAGCGGGGAGTGCCTCTAGAGAGCACCCAGACCTGTTTGGGATGATCAGGGCCCCTGCCCACCCTCCTGTCTTTGGTGCAGTGAATGGATTGAGATCTCCTAGTCAGAAAATGCTCGAGCAAGAGTCCGAAAGCTCTTGGAGGATCTACAAAGCATGCTGACTTCTAGACCCCACACCCAGAACTGGGTGGCAGCCAGGCCCCTGTGATTCAGGTGGAATGCAGCTCTTCATCTTCAGTTAGGACGAGCCGAGAGGAGAAGCCTGCCTCCAAACAACCTCCTGTGATGTCCCCCCCCCTCGCCGAATGGGCACCGCTACCTGGAAGGGCATGAGAAGCCTGACTCAGGAAAGAAGTCGCCAGGCGTGAGAGGGAGGAACAGAGACTCCTTGAGGTGCTGAGGGACCTGGAGGGTGTAAGCAACAGCAGTGACAGAAGAGCCAGGAAAAAAGTAGAAGCCCAGAAGAAGCCCGAAGACCTGACTGACCCGAGAGGCCAGTGCACCCTTTCTGCATCTCAATTTCCTCCCCTGAAAATGAGGGAGCTCAGTGAGGGGACTCAGACTAAGCTTCCTCTTGGCTTTTTGAGGATTCTTGTGCTGACTGAGCGGGTCTCAGGTGGCCAAGCTCTAGATGGAGATCCCTCAGACCCATTTTATTGGGAGAGAAGGACCCTGGAGGCCCTTGACCCACTGCCCCCATGAAAGCACCTCACGGGTGCGCATGGAGAACTCCTTGGCCAGAGACCGTGGTAGGTGGTAGGGAACTAATGGGCCATCTGAGAAAAAGATGGACATAACAAAGGAAGCAAACCAAGGTTCACCTCTGTCTCCTCAAGACACCAAGCGTGAACAGGGATATTTAACTTTGGAAGGAAGACTCCCTGATTGTCCTTCAGAGGGCTGGATGGTCGCCAAGGACAGAGAAATAAGAGGGATATGGATGCAAGACAGATTCCACGTTGCTCCCAATATTAAGTTGGAGGTCATCACTGAACAGCAAAAACTTCATCCTGCGATCCTTAATCGTATAAAGAACAGTCAACTCTGTGGAAATCCAGAATATGGAATGTTTTCCCAATTTCCTCAGGAAAGGAGGGAGCTCTGTGGTCACTGGAAACATTTAAATAGAAGAAGGCCACTTTAAGGGATAGTTGAGTCAGGGAACCAGCCTTGAATGCAGGGTTGAGCTCATGCTCCTCTGACTCCAGAGGGCCTGGTGCATCTACCTGTGGACAGAGAGGCGGGTGCCCTGAGCGGAAGGCTGAATGAGGGCACCATGGTGTGGCGGAATCCGCTTCCTGGACGAGGACAGACTCTGAGCAACCCACTCACCCTCTCAGTACTGCAGTTTCCCTTAAAGACCTTACAAAGGTTTTCATGAGAAACTCCACGCTTCTTCCAAGTAAGATCCCTCCGGCGCATGAAGCACTCAGCAAAGATGCGCTAGTATTTTCATACCTGTGACCTCCTAGAACCCAAAATTTCTTCCAAGAGGGGAAAAAAACAAAACTGCTATTCCCTAGACAGATCTTAGCCCTAAAATATGTATCTATTAACAATGAGCAAATTGAGACAGACAATCTTGAAGGTTGAGAACTGTCCATTCTGGTCTAGAGAATCTGTGGTACCCAGACCCCTTCCTCAGGCTCTGCGTCCTGATGCAGGCGCCATTTTGACCATGGGCCGTAAACACTAAAGTACCGGCCTCTTTGGAGGAACCTGGACTACTGCACCTCAGCCCAACGGCCCAAGTGCTTGGGACTGTTGACATCTAGTGCCTTCTCCTAGGGAGCTGATCCTCCCTTCTGGGAGATCCTACGAGGGCTCCCCCTGCTCCTTCTGAGCAATGCAGTTAAAGCCCTTTTCTATCCAAGAGCCATGGATTTTGAGTTTATGTAAAAGCCAGGCAGGATGGGTGAGTTTTAGAAATGACAGGGGTGGTGACCAAGGAAATGAAAGACACCCTTGTGAGTAAAGGATGCCAGACTTTCCTTTACTTCTGTCACTGAAAAGGCCCCCAACATGCTCTTATTCCATAGCCTGGCTGCTCCCCCAAGAGATTAACAGGGCTTCCCTTTGAGCCATTTAAAGAGATGGTGGGGAAGAATTTTGTCACTACTCAGAAAAATCATCCCCTGAGATTGACACACGTTCCCAGCAGGCCAAGACCCTGCCCCTTGCCTCTAAATGCTTCCTGCAATCAACACAGACTTGCGCTTATTTCTGAATCAAATGCAATTAGAGACCATCTTTCTTAAAATACACACACATATATATATTTTTTAAACAAGGACTGCCCTGTCATTTTTTATTAGGAAAAGAAACCACATCCACCGAAAACCCATTCTCATCCAAGCATCCCAAAGTATAATTCTTAGTTATGCAGGTCGATGCTGCATAAACTACCATCACCACCCTATAAATAAGAGGGAAATAACAAAATAGATCCTCTGTGGTTCCAACAATTTTCCAGTTCCCCCTGACACTTCCAGTTGCGTGGTAAATTGTTGGAACAGGAGATAATAAAATTAAAAACGTCTTTAATAAATTCATATTATTCTTGGCTTTTGATTTTTTCCGCTGCTAGTTTTGTTTTCTTGCGTTGATAATGCATGCCAGTTTTAACAAAGTGCATGCTTTTAAAAAATTTTTGAACTGGCAAGCTAAAATGATCCATGTCTTCTTTCCCACCCACCCCTAAAAAGAAGTTAATATAATTTAGAACCTAGCATTTAAAAAATATGGTCATGACACATCTGGGATAGAGATGGAACATGCTTCATTTGGCAGAATGATAAATCAAAAATCTTGTGGGTTTTGTTTTCCCATTTTTGTTTGGAAGCAGCTGAAAGCAGGTCCTTAACAGAACTGTGTTGTGGAAGAGAAAAATTAATACCTGCCACTTTCCGTTTTTGTCACATGGCACGCGCACGCACACGTAGAAGTACACGGGTATGTGCACTCACTCACACATCATCCATGCACACACACACACACACACACACACACCCAGTGCTGGGGAGGACAAGAGAAAGGAGTTAGGGCAGACGCCACGTGGGTGGTCCCTGGCCAGCTGGCAGCCTGGGGGGCAACTTTGGGTCGGGTATATTCTCTCAGCTCTGCCTGGTGGTCTTGGTCTCACACCTGTCCTGGGAAAGCCACCCCAGAGATGGGGCAGGCTGGGGAGAAATGTAAGGCATACTTTGCAGGGAAGGAAGGAAGGAATCCATGCTTCATGCTCAGACGCGAGTCTCAGAGGGGGTCGGGCCTTTCTTTCCCCTTTGGCCTGCTCTGTCTCGCCGGGGGTGTAGGGGAGGATGTGAAATCAATGGGGGAGGGGAAGGAGGAAGGAGGGAAAGTAATCATGATACTGACCATCACAACAAAGGATACTCATAATAAATAAATAAGAACGAGAAGACGAGGTGGGCCAGTTGAACTTGACGTCAAATGAGTGACTTTTCTACCCGCTCGGCGCCCGGCACCCTAAATGGACTTCCGCCGTCTCATAAGCCTGTGGTTGTCGGTAAAGCTGTGTAACCCGGGGGAAATGGAGCTGATGGGGGATGGGAAGAGGCTGTTTTTCAGTGTGCTTGGTGAGATCTCCTCGATCTTGTACGAGATGGAGTGGAAGTACTGGGGGGCGAGCTTGGTGCTGAAGGAGTTCTGCTGGGCGGCCGGGCGGTAGCAGGTGCAAGAGCACACGGACTGCAGGTCTGGCGCGTCCGCCTTGTAGCGGGGCCGGCCCTGCCGCGCCTCCTCGGGAATGTGGATGACCATGCTGTTGCGGTTCCCGGCCAGGGATGCCCTCTCCTCGGCGTCCCGCCGCTCGTCCTCGCTGTTCATGGTCAAGAACCTGAGGACCACCAGGTTGAGGAAGGCCCCGATGACCGTCAGCCCCACCAGGATATACATAAAGCTGAAGGCCACGTAGAGCGGCTTCTTCTGCAGGGCGCCCTTGGTCTGCAGGGCCACGTAGTCCCCGAACCCAATGGTAGTCAACGTGATGAAGCAGTAGTAGTAGGCGTGGAAAAAGCTCCACTCCTCGCACTGGGAGAAAGCGGCTGCCCCGATGCACAGCGTCCCCATGCAGGAGAAGAAGCCCACGGTCACCATGTTCTCCATGGACACGTCTGTGTTGCGCATTCCGCAGCACTTCTTGATGCGCTTCAGCAGGTAGCGCACAAAGGTGTTCATCCGCTCGCCCAGGCTCTGGAACATGACCAGCGTCAGCGGGATGCCCAGCACCGCGTAGAACATGCAGAAGGCCTTGCCCGCGTCGGTGCCGGGGGCGGCATGCCCATAACCTGGGGGTGGGGGAGAAAACAGGGACAAGGAGTGATGAGACGTCCTGTGAGGTTTGGGGTGCGGTCACCCTTGAGCATCTCCATTGGGGTGGGGCTGGGGCATGCCCAGAACCTGGGGGGAAGGACAGGGAGAGCCAGGGAAAAGAGGGCACTGGAGGCTGGCGCTGGGAAGAGGGTGAAGTCAGGGAGCAAGCTCCTGTCCTGGAGAGAGAGGGGAAAGAACAAGGAAGAATTGGTGAAGGGTCCTTTGCGATTCAGAGATGGGAGGGGTGCCTTGGGGGCGTTTCATCTGGGGCAGTTCAAAGGAGTATGGAGGGTATTTCACAGACAGTCGGACAGTTTTGAAAAGGGAAAGCCGCATACTCACTAGAGTATAGAAATAGTGCAAGGGAGAAAATGAAATACGCCCACCAGGGACCAACTTCACTGTTGCACACCTGGCTGTCTGCTGAGTCGTTGTTCTACGGCAACCTCATTCTGACCCCCTAACAACCCTACAAACCAGGCATGAGTCCGACACCGAGGGCAGGAAAACTGAGTCGGTTACTTAATAGCAGGATCACTTGATTTCTTCAGAGCTGGGATTTGAACCCAGAGTTTCAAGCACCAGGAATAAGGCAGAGATTTTGACAAGAGTAACTGCAGAGTGTAATATACGCACAATGAGAGCAAAGACTTGTATCTGTTCTGTTCCTGGATGGATCCCCATGCCTAAGGTGATACCTACCAGGTAGAATATTTAATAAATGAAGGAATAAAATTGTGCCACTGTGTGAACATGGGCTTCTCAGGAACAAGGGAGCAAATAATCCTTCAAGACCTCACATGTGTAAGCACTTCTGAAACTCTTCATGTCATTTCATTTATCCCCTACATCAACTGTATACAGGGTTGGCTTGTATTTTCCTCATATTCTGAATGAAGATGGTGGTGCTTGAAGGGTGAAGTTACCTGCCAGGGTCATTCAGCGAGTTAGTGTTGATGTGAGAGCCAGGATAGGGTCTGCACGATATGTCAGAACAGGAGACTCAGCAGGCTCTAGTTCAAGTTCTGGAACTAACACTGCCTGCGGGGGGTGGGGGTGGGGGACACCTGAATCCTGGGTCAGTATTTGGACTGAGACTTTGGAGGATGAACATGGCCTTCCAACATCTCAAATCCTGCCCCACCAAGAAAGGCTTCCCTGCTGTTACCCTGAGCCATATGCTCACAAGCTCATAGTTCTTTAACCACATGCACTAACGAGGGCACCAAACCTCTCCCAACCCTGGTTTCTTCATCTATTACACGGGCTGACAGTAACTCCCAGGTGGAGTTGTGCAGATCTGCCGAGTCAGAGAGCACCTAATCCAGGGCCTCATACTCTGTAGGGACCAAGCAGGCCCCAAGCCCTCTGCCTGTCCCCTCTGCCCCCCAGGAAACAGTCTGACCACTCAAGCCCACAACTCTCTACCAGAATGACATTGCTTATGGTCAGCCTGTTTCTCCCCTGGCATGAACGTGTGCCACGTCCTGCGTGTCCCAGGGATCCTACTCTCACTAGAGCGAGGACATCTCACGTTTGCCTCCAGGATGCCTTCTCTTCATCCTCTCTGGCCTCAATCCCACTGGGCAGGCACTGAGCTCCAACCCCTCAGAAACCCCACAGCCCTGGCACGAGTGAGAAATGACAGGACAAAGCCTGAGTCAGGCCAGGAAGGATACAATGGGGAATGAGAAGCGGACAGAGAGTGCACCCAACACAGTGGAAATCCAACCTGAAGAACAGAGAGAAAAGAGAGTAAGACCAAAAAAAGGGAGGGGGGGGAGGGAGGGAAGGAAGGGCAAGGAAGAATGAAGAAATAGCCAAAATGAACCAAATTTGGTGAAAGACACAGATTCACAGATTCAAGAAGCCCAGTGAACTCCAAGCAGGAGAAATACAAAGAAAACCACCCGTCAGAGCCACATTGCTGAAAACCAGAGAGAGAAGTCATGAGGCAGCCAAAGAGAAACAAGACATCACACAGAAAACAATCTCACTACTGCTTCCTTCTAATCATAAACAATGGGAGCCAGGAAACAGTGGAATAATATCTTTAAGGAGCTTTAAAAAAAAAAAAAAAAGGTCTGTTAACGTGGAATCGTCCATCCACAGAAAATATCCTTTAAGAACGAAGTCAAGGGGCACCAGGGTGGCTCAGTCAGTTAAGTGTCTGACTTCAGCTCGAGAGTCATGATCTCAGGGTTCAGGAGTTTGAGCCTCACACTGGGCTTTCTGTGATCAGCACAGAGCCCATTTCAGATCCTCTGGCCCCCTCTCCCTTTGTCCCTCCCCTACTCACTCTCAAAAATAATAACAAAAATAATTTTTTAAAAAATGAAGTCAAAACACATTTTTTACATTAAAGAAAACTTGTTCCCAGTATATCTGCACAGCGCAATTACTAAAGGAAGTTCTTCTTCCTAGAGGGAAAGGGTACCAGATGGAGGCTTAGGTCTTCAGGAAAGAATGAGGCACGTCTTGGTAAACAAGTGGGTTTATATTTATACAAAATGCAGGGGTGGGAATCCCACTGTATCTCCATATAGCTCACCTGCCTGGCTGGTACCAAAGCCAGATGGATGGTGGGGACCAGTCGATTGTCAGACACATAGAACAGTGGTGGTGTTAGCTAACGGCTTGGGATGCGATCTATTTACTAGAGAAAACGAATGCAGCATTTTCTGGGTCAAAAACCACTCATGGGGTTCCTGGGCCCCACCCATGCCTGTCAGTAGCTGCTTCCTTCACGTGGCCCCGGGCAGCCCCAACCCTGTGGCAGGATGGTTCGGTTCTCTGGCCATCTGTCCTGCATTTCATCATTCTGGCGCCCTAGAGTATATCCCCTGGTTCCATTACAGCGGTGACACACCGGAGTCAGATCGGGCATGACCGAGTGTGGGAGATGGACGCCCCGAGAGGTCAGGGCCTTCTGTATGGGTAAACCTCTCAGCACTGCGTGGGTTGAGCACAGGACTGTTCCCACTACAGTGAGAGACAGGTTGCTGACTGTGTAATGCTTCCAGGAAAGAGACAGCCAGGCAGGACATCCTCCACATTCCCAGCTGGATGTACCCACCTCCACCCTGCTCTCTGGCTTCCGGTTAGTTCGTTCGGCAGGAGGCCAGAGGAAGGGAGGAAGGTGAGGATCTTGGTAAGAAGCCACATCTGCCAGCAGGTTCACAGCCTAGAGCCATTCTCCACAGTTCCAGTAACTACTCCCAGAAAGGTGGATGCTCTCCATCAGCACCCTTTCAGGGAGCCACACCTTCCCTGGTAGCTTTCCCTCCACCTGACCCACACTTTCCAGAAGAGTCTACCAATAGCCCATTAATTGATTGCTTGAACTGAGAGAGTGCTGCTTCCTGCAAAGACCCTAGCTGACATTCCATGTGCATTCTCCACTGGACCTGCTTCCCATCTCTGCTGTGGCTCAGCACTGCAACCAAGTCTACCCGTATCATGTGTGCATGTCAAATGTGCACAAGCTGTGGAACATGGGTGTAGGGTCTATGGGTACTTCAAACAGGACATACACGGTACATTCAGGAGCTTCGTGAACAGCATGTACCTGTGGGCAGAGTAACCACATGTACGTGGAACGGGTAGGCACCCGTACCACCTATATTATACTGATATATAAAAGGCATATATGATATACTCCTAGCATGCCCATATTCAAGGACAAGTTCCACGTGGAATATGTGTGTGTGCAGAGTACACTCAATGCACAGGATGTGTACACATTCCTGTATATGCCACAGGGATTGTGTACATGGATTTGAAATTCAGCAGCATCCATGTTACACATCTAAGAGGAAAGGGGAGATACAAAACGCACACGTGCCAGACATCCGGAAGCCCGTCTCTCCTTCCCAAGAGAACGAGGTACAAATCTCCAGTGTCTCATGGAATGTGTGTGACAGTTCAGGTCCTGAAAGACGGGGCTTTCCATCCACGCATGAACAAGTGCACCCTGGCCTCCCCGGGCTGGGAGTCGTATTCATCCAACGACTCATGTCACCAATGACTGGTGACTTTTCACCAGGCCCTGTGCTTGTCACAGTGGATCCACAGGGACTTCTTTCCCCAAAATCTCCCAAGGGGCTCCAGCCAGCCAGCCCGGGCCCGGGGCCCTCCCAGTGCCTGGCATGATGGGGCCTTAGCAGTTGAGGGCATGTGGATGTCCAGGCCACCGAGGACCCCCAGGGTGAGCTGCCTGTCTTCCCCCATCATCTCCCATCCCCCGGCCCCTGGTTAGGTCCAGTCCTGGCAGCTCAGGACCCACATCCCCGTCCCGGCTTTCCCGCTGAGTCCCCAGGCTCCCAGGCCCTTCCTCTTCCCCGTCTGGGCCCTGCAGGGCAACATGGTGTCGGGAACCGCACCAGGGCCACGCTGCCCATCCGCCCACCATTGTATGAATAACTCATCCTTCTGGCAAAGCAGCGTCAAAAAAATGATTGGCACGGGGTTCGGGAAGCACGCACAGGGCCCAGAAGAGACACCAACACCAGGCAGTCACCTGGTTCACAGGATGGAGGTGGAGGGCAAGGCTTTAGAGGGGAAGGTAGACCAGTTTACGTGGTCCTGCCCCAGCCTGTGTTTGGCACCCCCTGCAGATGACCAGCACCCAGGGCCCCACGAGCTGGAGAATGCACCACTGGACTGCTCACGCCTCCATCTGTCTGCACCAGGCCGTGCCTCACCCTCCTGAGAGCCAGGGAAGGACTGGCTCAGGGCCCCAACACTGGCCCAGAGAGGCTGCTCCGCTGGCCACAAGAGGCCCAGTCTGGGGGCCAGCTCACAAGGTCAGTGCAGTCTGAAAAGCCGCCCCTGGTGCGTCACCCCAAACACCACGCTCCCTGGGTTCCAGGGCACTGGAGCCCTGAGGAGTCACCCGGGGGTCTGTCTGGGGAGAGGACCCATCCCAGCGCCTGCCGCCCCCACCTCCCAGCCACTGCCAAGGCCCTACTCCCCA